TTCCCTTCCAGTTAATTCCTGTCCTCTTTCCTTTTTTTCCCCTCTTTATTTTATTTATTTTTATTTTTCCCATCTTATGGAATCATTTAATTAATTAATTGTTATAATTTTTTTTTAGAACTTGTTATCCTTATGTTGTAAGCCGCCTAGAGTGGTCGAAATGACTAGATAGGCGGGGTATAAATACAATAAATAAATAAAAAATAAAAAAATAAAAAAACTGTATCGGACCAAGTGTAAGGCCAGGGGGTCCTTCATGGAAAGGTGCTGATTCATACAATGAGCCCATATATGCTTTACATCACTACAGTTCTTTTGAATTGGCTCTATGTTGTACATTTTTCACTAGCAATAGAGCTGTGTCTGTACAATAGAATGCATCTTGTCCCAGCAACAAAGGAAGCTGCTTATTCAAACCAAATTACAAATGCATCTGGCTAAATATTTCTGTGCTGCACTTTATGACTGAGCTACGGCCACTTCCCTAAGCTGCAGTTTCTTAGGAATACAGTAAGTTGCCTCACTCTGAGTCACATCCAGAGGATGGAATTAATTCATTAACATTTAATTCACTAGCCACAATCAGCGTAACACATAACAAAAAATCTTATAAGTATTTAACATGTTATTTTCAGAGAGTAATATCTTGGTTTTTAGGTCCATTTTTCTGTATCAGTAATTGAACTTGTTTTTTAAAATTTGGAAGTAACACATTAACACATTGCTACAAGTAACATTATAATTAGTAACTAACATTAACATATCAAATTCATTATATGACATTCAGTAAAATGGTTACCATTAATGAATTTATTTTCAAATTAACATTAACATGTTAACATTAACAATAAATATTTCCAACCTCTCGTGAGACTGTCTATGTCCGTCTAGTCTGCACAGAGTAGAAGCAGCTCTCCACAGATTCATGAAGAAACAAACCAAATTCCAGCAATACCTGAATAGGCCTTCTCTACTGAGTTACAGCACTTCATTTTCTGTATGTTTTGAAACACAGCCACATGGGATGCAATAAATATTTACACATACGGACGCACAACTTTTTTAAATGCCTACCTGCGATGAAGTGACTCTGAAAATTTAAGGCTTGCATAAATGAATTCTTTAACCTGGATATAGATCTGAGGCACTGATTGAGACATCGGGAGTTTCTTTGGAAAAGGCTGCTGCAGAAACAAAATGTGTGTGCATGTTATGCTCCAAGTGGAATCAGTCTAAGCAGGTTGAGAAAAAGGAGCTGTATATCGCAATTTAAGTTACAAGTCGTGCCCCGCATAGCAACGATAATCCGTTCTGGAAAAATCGTGGCTATCCAGATTTGTTGCTATGCGAAAAGAAAAAGCCCACAGGAATGCATTAAACTCCGTTTAACGCGTTCCTATGGGCTTAAAACTCACCTTTAAGCGAAAATCCTCCATATGGCCGCCATTTTCGCTGCCCGGTATGCGAGGAATTGGCGCAAAAACACAGCGGGCGGCCGTTTTTTTTCTGGTGCCTATTTTGGAACTGCCGATCAGCTGTTTTTAAAACATCGCTATGCAAAAATCGTTAAGCGAAACAGCTTACCGATCATCTCAAAGCGATTTTTTACCATTAGAAACATTGTTATGCGTTCGCAAAAACGATCGCAAAAAATCCGTCGCTATGCGGATTTGCCGTTAAATGAGGCGCTCGTTAAGCGAGGCACCACTGTATATATCCAAAATATATTTGAAGCCACAAACTGTATTGTCCTCTCTTCATACACATTAGCCAATCCATATCTAAAATCTACAGCATTTCAGTTTTCCCCACAACTGGTACTATGGAGAGGGGTCTCCATCAAATGCTAAATAAACAGATGTATAGTGTGAGCTCAAGAAATTTTGCTCAGGGAGATAAATGTGGTTTTAAGTTGTTATTTCAGTTTTCTTCCAATTACATCAAGGTGGAGAACCTTTTGCCTTTCAAATGTTTATGTCTGTGAATCCTACCAGCCCTACCCAGCATGGTAGTATTTCAGTTTTCTTCCAATTGCCTTTCAAATGTTTATGTCTGAATCCTACCAGCCCTACCCAGCATGGTAAAGGACTCAGGGAGTTGGAGGAGCAACTGGAGAAACAGAGGTACCTCCCACTTGACGCTTTGAATGCCTACTATTTTGTCAATTGATTAATACTCACAATTAGGTTCCAAAACGTAGATGTTTTAAGCATCATACTTAATATCATAATGGTAACAGTATACTAAAGGAGAATGAGAATTCACACTCAGAAGCACATGGGCTGAAAAGAACAGAGCACAGGCACATACCAAAGTGCTTAATTATATTCTTTAACTCTTATTACGTACATGTTGTGCCTACAATGGAATAAAATGAGATATACTTGAACTAGATATTTGCTTGCAGGCAAACATTTGTTTGATGAAATTCTATGATTGTTCCATTCAGCTACAGTAGCAATCCAAGGTTTACCATTAGCTAAAATCGAAAAAGAATGTAGGCAGTTCAATGGCTATCCTAAGTTTTTTTCATTTTTCCACCTTTCTATACATACTCTTGGTTTGCCTGTTTCTTCAAAGAAAATGATAATAAAGTAATAATCGCCTCACTTTGCACTTGTAGGAAATGAAAGAAAAAATGCACAGCTAATGGTTTGGAGGATCATCCGCATGTTATTTAACCCAGATTAGCTAGCTTTAAAACCAGTGTATGTAATATATGTTCTCTTACCTTATCAAGTTCTGGATCCTGATAGGGAAATTTACTAATTACAATTTTGTATTCCTCTTCATTTGATACAGGAATTGGACTGTAATTGTCTGCTTCAAAGATATCCCTGTGTTTTCAGTTAGGAACATAAATATATAAAAATAGATGATAAACCTAGTATCATATATGATCATAATTCAATTGTACATAAGCACTTTTATGTTCTACAGCTTCCAGTGAGAGAGGTAACCATCTGTTGAGGTGTTGCGTAAAGGAATACTCACAAACATTCTAGCTTAGCTTTCGCCAACCTGAAGCCTTCCAGCCTTTTAGACATGAATGCCTATCAGTTCATCAACTATAAGCAATAGTCAAGATTGCTGAAAGTGGTAGTCTAAGACATGTGGAACATTCCAGGCTAGCTTATGTCTGGGAAAATTGTGAATTCCTGATGAGAAAGGATGCAGAAAACTGGAAGTGGCAACATCATAGCAACAGTCACCTAATAAGACTGGATGTTTGAGAGTGACATAGGCAAGAATGGGGAGTATATAATTTGAACAAAAACCATGTGCAGAGATTAATGCACCTTTACATATGTACTTGTTTTGTATAACTGTCAGTCATGAATATAAGCAAGAAGTCACACAGGGCATTGTAGCCTTGCCCTGCTCCATCCTGAAAGTATTTCACACAAATATCTGGGTTTATCTATAATATTATAAAATTTAAAAACAATTAAAGTTGAAATCCCAAGGTTATGAACTCAATGCAAAAATAGATACAGTCGTGGCCCGCTTAACAATTACTCCATATAATGACGAATCTACTTCACGACAATGTTTTTGCGATCGCAAAACGATGTTTTAAATGGGCTTTTTTCACTTTGTGAAGATCGGTTCCCTGCTTCGGGAACCAATTCTTCGCATTACGACGATCAAAACAGCTGATCGTCGGGTTTTCAAAATGGCCGCCAGGTGCTCAAAATGGCTCCCCGCTGTGCTTAGGGATGGATTCCTCGCTCTACAGGCACCGAAAATGGCCGCCCCTATGGAGGATCTTCACTGGATGATGAGTTTTCAGCCCATTGGAACGCATTAACCGGGTTTTAATGCGTTTCAATTGGCTTTTTTATTTCGCTTTATGTTTTCACTCTACAGCAATTTCGCTGGAATGAATTAATGTCGTTAAGCGAGGCACCACTGTAGTTACAGAATGCCCACCAGTACAGAGTATTTAGTCCATACAAGGAGCTGGGCAACACATAATTAATTGCAACAATGATTTTTTTTTGCTATGACAACTACCAAAGGTTTTTTTTTGAAACTTTCCATTTCAAAATACAAATATTGCTTCAAAATTTGGAAAGTGAAATATTCAAATACATAATCAAAGGAGTAACCAAAATGAGTTAGACATTACTTGGAAATGGATTCTCTTCTTATTGTGCAATACCAACCTGAACAACATTGCCCATTTTTTAAGGAGGGTTTCATTGTACTGGTCCCTTATTTCAAATAAAAGGTCAAATAGTCTGTTCACAGGGAAACCATAGCCCTAGGAAGACATATAATGAAAGGATCTGTAAAAGGTGTGATCATAATGAATGAGAATACAGTACAGCATATTTTTAAGTTTGGAAGGATACAGCCAAAGTTTCAGAGAAAAATCCCAACATTCCCAAATATTCTCCCACTCACCAAAAGACCACAAGATTCTCCTCCCTCCCTCCCCTTGATGCATGCTTCATTCACTTAATTTCTCTCTCTTTCTCTGCTTGCTCTGGTTTAGTTCATAGATTGGTGGTGATGTAGCACTTTTTCTTCCATAATCGTCGTTTAGTCGTGTCCGACTCTTCGTGACCCCATGGACCGCCAGGCCCTCCTATCTTCTACTGCCTCCCGGAGTTGTGTCAAATTCATGTTGGTTGCTTCGCAGACACTGTCCAGCCCTCTCATCCTCGGTCGTCCCTGTCTCCTCTTGCCATCACACTTTCCTAACATCAGGGTCTTTTCCAGGGAGTCTTTTCTTCTCATCAGATGGCCAAAGTACTGGAGCCTCAGCTTCAGGATCTATCCTCCCAGTGAGCACTCAGGGTTGATGTCCTTTAGAATTGATAGGTTTGTACTCCTTGCAGTCCAGGGGACTCTCAAGAGCCTCCTCCAGCACCACAATTCAAAGGCATCAATTCTTTGGCGGTCTGCTTTCTTTATGGTCCAGCTCTCACTTCCATACATCACGACAGGAAAAAACATAGCTTTGACTATTCGGACTTTTGTTGGCAAGGTGATGTCTCTGCTTTTTAAGATGCTGTCAAGGTTTGTCATCGCTTTCCTCCCAAGAAGCAGGCGTCTTTTAATTTCATGGCTGCTGTCTCCATCTTCTTCCACAATAGACATCATAAAACATGTGACCCAAATGCCCCAACCAAAGGTTTTAACTGCATGAAGAGAGAAGCCCCAGGACTGCAGGAGTGCCTCCGTTATGGATGTGAAGAAATCTCACTAGATGACTTGTTCTGAATGAGACAGACTGCCAAGGCACTCAAGCAAGCATTTATCAACTACCATGAGATTTCTTGCCTCAAATGGAAGAGCACCTGGCTCACAAACTCATGGAAAGAGGCTGGAAGGGAGAGAACAATGCCATAGGCTGGTGTCAGCTTATCCACCATACTACACTGCTCCTCTTCCCTCCTTCTCCACAGGTTCCCCCTACATCACACCAATTGCAGCATGATGAACATTCCTCTCCTTTTCTAGAAAACAGATGCTGACCCTGGATGTATAAGCAAATTTCTCAGTATCTCCTCTGAGCAATTCCTTGTGCAAGGAAGTCTACTTACCGTTCATTGTCAGATATTCTGCATCTCTTTTAACGAAAACTGTTTTTGTTTGGTTGTTAACTTTTCCCAGTAGGAACGCAATATAAGCAATGCAATTATTAATTAAAAAATTAAGACTGGTATCTAACCCATAATGTTGTCATTCCCCCAGGTGAGAAATGTGTGCTTGAAGACAGCAACCTGTACCAACTTATCTTGGTTTGAGACCCAATAAGTTCAATGGGAATTATCTCTAAGGAGACATGTAAAGGATTGCAGTATAGTAAACATCACACACAAAATACTCTTAATGCCTTCACAAAACTTTAATTTCTAGATTTCTTTAGAAAAAAATTATTGCAGGTGACAGTATAAAGCTTGTTTTACTTTGGTACAACTGTGCCTTGAGACAGAGTTACCCTCTAAAAAATTCCCAAAATTAAATTGCTCTAAGACTGTTAAACTGTTCACCTCTCCTGTAAATTTTCTTATTAATGCACCAAAAAGGCATATATTTTAATCTATGTATGCAAATCTTTCCTATATTATAAAACAATCCTGTTCTTTCAAATTGAATTGATTTTTATCTTTATTCTTCCAACACAGCAGTAAAAATAATACACCGAAGAAAAATAATACTTTCATTAAACTACATACTAGAACTTTATTTCAATTATTCTCTTTTGGTCTACTGTCTATTTATATTAAATTTTAAAAAATAAAAGTAGTATTTCGGGTGAACAGAAGTAAACCAAGCCAAAATATAAATTAGATGACACAGGATCATTTCACACACAGAATAACCCACTAAGAATGCATTTTAAAGGACAGCACGGTTAAGGGACGTGGTGGCGCTGTGGGTTAAACCGCAGAAGCCTCTGTGCTGCAAGGTCAGAAGACCAGCAGTCGTAAGATCGAATCCACACGACGGACTGAGCTCCTGTCGCTTGTCCCAGTTCCTGCCAACCTAACAGTTCAAAAGCTTGCAAATGCAAGTAGATAAATAGGTACCACCATGATGGGAAGGTAATGGTGTTCCGTGTCTAGTGCTGGCCACGTGACCACAGAAACTGTCTTCGGACAAACGCTCTCTCTACAGCTTGGAAACGGGAATGAGCACCGTGCCCCAGAGTCGGACATGACAACTAAATGTTAAGGGGAACCTTTACCTTATGGTTACACACAACCCCCCCCACTGTATTTTAATCAGGTTTAGTATTTTGAAATTGAGTTTTTAAAAGGTGACTATACAATGCACATGGAACTGCAAATTCTTTTTTGGCCAGGAACATTGTTTTTGGTTGGAAAGTGAGGTATTTTACTCGGCTGTGAGAAGGTCATTTATTTACATCACTACTGAAATTTACCATATTTTTTGCTCCATAAGACGCACTTCCCCCCCCCCAAAAGTGTGGGGGGAGTCTGTGCGTCTTATGGAGC